CATATCATAGATTAAAACCCAAGCCTTAACAAAAATTAAAATTCTAGCCATCTTAAGGTAAAATCGAGTCAACCCAAGTTTTTTATCAAATTCCATATTAGTTAAAAACCAAACCGAGCCAAGCAAGGCTAAAACCCGAACCCAGCAAGGGTCGAAAACCAAGTTGCAATTGAGACCTCCAACACTAAGCCACAATAAAAGTTAGAGCAATATTCTCATGCTTTTAAGACATCTTAAGATAGAACTACCACATGCTTTGAGTGAAAGTGGATGAAAGCTTCGTAATACACATACTAACATGCTCATGAGAAGGGCCAATTATTTCAAAACCATCCTCTTAATTACTTCCAACATAAGTATGCCTTGAGAGATAGGCAACATGCCATGATTTCAGCACTTTAGATAAGCAAAGTAAAAGAAAGGACTAATAGCATGCCAAATCTAACTTCTAGCATATATGCATATTTTTTTTTATCTTTCACATGCTTTGAGTGATAAACATTTCCAAATACAAGCATAGTGGCAACTAGAGTACTAAATCATACCCTGAAACCATCATCAGAGGCTCGACAAGGTTAAAACCGAGAGTCAGTAAAGCACAGAGAAAGGGGGGAGAAGAAAATATACACCCTGAAGCTTTTAAATGTCATTCTCACATAACAAACGTATAAAGAGTAAGTTAGAACATGTTTAGGAATGAGACATAGTAATTTCCCTATTCTAGCATGCTAACAGGACAAAGGAGACGAATGAGTGAGAAAGAAAAAGAGCAGAGTTTTCTCCCTCAGAAAGATTTTCGGCCCCTTTTGGGAGCTTCACAGAGGAGCTCTCATATACGCTAAGGGCAAAGGAGACGAATGATTAAGAAGATACGACAGAGGGATCGAGAGATGCAGAGGATTAGATCCTCCCAGAGGATACGATTCGTGGCAGAGGAGATCGAACCCATATCGCAGAAGATAGGATACGAGGGATGGGCGCTTGTGTGATTTGTCCCACGTGCGAGAGGCGAACGCGGGAACCAAACCTCCCCAACGACACGAAGAAGGAGCGGGCCGGGCGACCGAACGGGCCGTCCTAGGGCTAAGGCAG